CTTGAAAATTCTGATTTTTAAGAGTGGTGTTAGGGGCACACCCCAAACCACACCTCCAACCACACCTCCCCTCTAATTCGCTACAGTACTCCGGGCCCCACATGAGTTTTTAAATTTTAAAAACTCATGTGAAGCCCGGAGTACTGTAGCGAATGAGAGGAGGAGGTGTGATTGGAGGTGTGACTTGGGGTGTGCCCCTAACATTTCTATTTAAATAAATACATTGTTTGTTTTTAGCCTGTTAACAAATTTGACATTCTACGTGTAGGGTCTATGGCATCAATCCTAATTCCCAGAATATACGCTGTTTTCACTCGGTTTTCACCGATATCCTGTTTTAGTTGGCTCTTCTTATCAAGAATCAGAAAGGCGGGAAATTTCAAGGTTACCGCCTCCTACCTCCACATCTTCCCACCGAAAACCTAATTGCGCCTTGTAAAAACCCGAAACTCTTTTCATCTCAGAGCTGAATCTCTAGAATTCGTCCCAACCTCTGATCTTTGCTGCTCTTTTCAATTTCAGGTATTTGGATCTGTAAGTTCGACTATCCCTTGTTCTTCGATCTTTTCTTAAACTTTGGATCTCTAGTTTGAACATTTCATAAATTGAAATATTTTTAGGTTTTAATTGTATTTTATTGGGTGTTCTGAATAGTTTCTTTCAAGAAAGCTTTCTCAAGATGATGATCGATTTTACCTCGGCAGGCAAGTTGCAAAGCCGGCTTGCATCTCCGCTACCGGTGGGTATGAACCCTCGGATGTCGGCGAGGTGAGGCGAGAAACTCCAACAGGTTTTGGCTTCCCCATCACTGATTGATGGAGCCCAAGACTGATTGATGACTTTTAGAGTGGTCATGTTACGATTTTTTTTTTAAGATGCATGCTTATCATTAATGTGCCAAATGCACTTTGCTTTTCCCCCGAAGTCCACTGTAGATCACCCGGATTTTTTATGAGCCTATGCATGTGTATTTGTGGTGAACAACTCCCTTTACAATCAAAACCGATTGAAGCCATTGCAAACTATCATCACTCTTAAGGGCCTGTTCGTTTGCCTAAAAAAAAGAAGGAAATCAAAGAAATGGAAAACTATTAAAATGAATAATTGTTTTTGGAGTGTTTGGTTGGCTAAAAAAGAAGGAAATCAAAGAAATAAAATTGAAATGATGTTAGTTGTCACCTTATTATTGGATGATGTTTGTGATTTTTTAAGAAAACTAGTTTTGGAGTGTTCGGTTGGCCAAAAAAAAAGGAAATGAATTATAAGAAACATATTTCCTGTAATTTCTTGTTTTCTTTTGTTCGGTTCATTCTTAAAAATAAGAAATGAAATGAGATGAGATGAGTTGTCATTGTATTATTGGGTGATGTGAAGAAAGATTAAGAAAAGTGTTTTCATAACTTTTTGGGATGAAAATGAAGAAATGAAATGTTAATGAGATGAGGTGAATTGTTATAATATTTTATTGGATGATGTGAGTGATTTGAAATGATGAGAAGAGATGAGTTGAGTGATGTTTGGATGAAAATAATATTTTATTAGATGTGATGGATGAGTTGTTAGATGAAAATAATATTTTATTAGATGTGATGGATGAGTTGTTAGATGAAAATAATATTTTATTAGATGTGATGTATGAGTGGTTAGATGAAAATCATATTTTATTAGATGATGTGGATGAGTTGTTGGATGGAAATAATATTTTATTGGATGTTGTGGGTGAGTTTTAGGGATGGAAATAGAGGAAATGGTGAGTTTTGAGATTTTCACCATTTCCATTTCCATTTCTTGGTTTTTAGAAAACAAACGAACAGGCCCTAAATAGGTAGCTTCTTTTCCTATTTGCAATTAATGTCTTTCATCAAGTAGCGTTTATCTTATTTTCAAATGTACTTATTTAAATATTTGTTGAATTTATATAAATTTCACACATATAATTTGTAAAATTTGTATTAAAATGTTCATCCCTAGAACTTGTCGGGAACTTTCATATTCATAGAATTGATTATTAAAGAATATGTAAAGTTGGGAAAAAAATTTCTTACATAGAAATGTTTGAATATTTTTATATTCCATATAAAGAATTTCTAGAAATTTTCATTCGCAAGTAGTTGACTTCTTACAAAATGTGTAAATCTAATTAGAACTTCTCATTCTCTATAAAATTAGATGAGTTCGATGGAAGAAGAGATAGTATTGTGCATGTGTTCAGGTGCTGCTAGCACGTTACCCCATGTATTAGTAGTCATAATCAAACAATTTTATGCTTTAAAGAAGACATCCATACCTCAGGAACCATCTGTTACTAGAGATTTAGATAGGTACGTGCACATGAACAGGATATTGAGTGGATCAAGCTCAAGTTGTGCAGATTACCTTAGAATGCATACGGGGCCATTCATAAATTTAGCATCATTGATGCGAGACAGAGGGATTTCATGTTCCTATTGAAGAGCAACTTGCTATGTTTTTACATATCGTAGGACACAAATCTAACTATAGAGTAGTGAGGATAGAGTTCATTTGATCAGGAGAGACAGTAAGCAGGTACTTCAACAAAGTTTTAAGAGCCATATGTTGCCTTCGAGACCGTTTTATGAAGCAAGCTCCTAAAAAAAACCCTATGGAATTTATGGGAAATCCAAACTGGTACCCATTCTTTAAGGTAATAATTAACGGAATTTTTAAAATGCTTGATCATATTTTAGTAAGACAAAACATCTCTAGCATTATAATTTATCTGTCCGTTGTAGGCGTCTAAAATTACCTATGAGAGCCCGCACGAAACTCAAAACAAAGAGTGGACGAGTCAATAAGGCTTACCCAATTAGCCCGCGCGCATCGGTCAACACGCGCGTCAAATCAGCTCGCGCGCGTCAATCAACACACCACGTCAATTAACACGCGGACGTTAACCAACACGTACGTCAGGCATCCCCAAGTGACCGACGTGTTCGACGGTCAGTCCCGCAACGACGCGTACAAGTCAGCGAGTCGACCAAATACACAAAACGGTGAAAAGTACAAATCCTGAAAAATAAAGCACGCCAAAAAGGAGGAGTTCGGCGGAGGCGGCGAACCCGCGTCGGCGCT